AAACTCCTTATCTTTTCCCACAAATCACCCCTGCCTTGTGAATTTCACTCTCATTGTCAAGGGTATTACCACCCTCCCAGGCACCAGGCTCAACTGTCCTCAATTCTTCACTCTCTTTCAATCCCCATGTTGAATTTGTTGTCCAGGGTTGCCAATCTTACCTTCCTAATATCTCCTATACATAAACCCCTTCTCTCCTTTGAAATGGCCACTGCCCCGGTACAAGCTCTTATCACTTCACATCTAGACTACTGCAAGAGCCTGCTGGTTGGTCTCCCTTTCTCCAGGATCTCACTACTCTATTCCATCTTCCACTCAGCTGACAAATTAATCTTCCTAAAGAGCAGATCTGATCACGTCACCTCTTCCTGGGTAACTCAATGAACTCCAGTGGCTCCCTATGACATTCGGGATCAAACACAAAATTCTCTGTTCAGCATTCAAAGCTATTTACAACCTGGTCTTCTTCTACCTTCTTACTTTATACCTACATATTCTGTCATCCAGTGGCACTGGCCTCCTTGTTGTTGCCCAAAGAAGACACTCCATCTCCTAACTCCATGAATTTTCACTGGCTGTCCCCCATGCCTGGAATACTTTCTCCTCATCTCCACCCTCCTTCAAGTTCCAGTTACAATTCCACCTTCTGGGGTGTAGGATGTGTTCAGGGAAGACTAGTACCTCTAGTGTGAAGGCTGCTGAGCCCTTTTCAGGGCTGCTTTCCACCTTTGGTGTTCACCTGTTCCACCTAACTCTCACCTTTGGCTCCGGGTTCCGAGAAGCTGTAGCATGTGCAGTGGCCACACCCTGGAAATCTTTCACAAGAAGCCTTTCCTGATCTCCCTTAATGCTAGTGCCTTCCCTCTATTGATCAATTCCAATTTTTCCTCTATAGACCTAGTTGTACGTAGCTATTGGAATGCTGTTTCCTCCATTTGACTGTGAGCTCCTTGAAAGCAGTGACTGCATTTTGCCTTAGTACTGCTAGTCCTTAGCAGAATGCCTGACACTTAACAGATTTTTAATAAATTTTTATTGGTTGACTGATCCCTTCAATTTACAAATGAGAAAACTAAATCCTAGAGAAGTTAAATGACTTGTTCGGAATCTGAACCCAGGTCTCTGGTCAACAAATTCAGCATTATTTCTACTGAGTACAAAAATAAGCTAGATTGTATCCCATGTGCCAAGAAGGTATATGTGAACTTAGTTCAATAAGAAAGGCACAAATGTGTTGGTTTGTTGCACTCCTTTGTTAGAAGCGAGGTCTTGTGATAGGGTGGGAACAGTGGTAAAGAAGTATCATTGAGAAGCAATGATAATATTACAAAAGACAAAGCATCAATGAAACTTTTTTTTAAGTTAAGTATTTTTGAAGAATAGTAGACTCTCAAATTAAACTTTAGTTGCAGTCACAATTGATTCTAATGAGAAGGAAAGAAGGGAACTGTTAAAAGAGAAAAATGATGTTAAATAGAGAGCACATCAACTTACTCATAATTTAGAACAATGCATGTATATAAAAGAGGAAAGCAAAGGCAAGTGAAATAATCAGATTAATTCTGTGTCCTTTTTAATTGATCCCATTTACAATGAATTGATTTTGTCTTGTAACTGTTTAAAATCATGATTCTTTGTCTCTGAACTTAGTTCAGAAATCCAGCTGTCCTGCAATGAGTTTAGTTTAGAAATTCAGTTCTCTTAATCACATTCTATTCTTGTGTCTGGAGCAGCTAGGTGGCACAGTGGATAGAATGCTGGGCCTGGAGTCAGAAACACTCCTCTTCCAGAGTTCAAATCTGTACTTAGTCACATCCTAGCTGTGTGACCCTAGGCAAGTCATTTAACCCTGTTTGCCTCTCAGTTTCCTCATCTGTAAAATGAGCTGGAGAAGGAAATGGCAAAACACTTCAGTATCTTTGCCAAGAAAACTCCAAATGGGGTCACGAAGAGTCAGACATGATTGAAAATGACTGAACATCAGTTTATCAAGGAAATATGTTACCCTTGAAGGAGGCAGGTAGACACTAGAGAATCTGGTCTAGTATTTTTACACCACCAACCTATCCTTCAAGGATGTCTGGCTTGTCATCCAAAGCTATCTCTGTCCTTGCACATGCGGCTAGACTTAACAATAAACATTTCTTACTCACAGTAGGGAAAGCAGAGGTTGTTACTAGCCCTCATTCCCCATATCCATCCAATTATATTATCTTCCATCTATGAAGCTTGTCTTCCTGTTTCTGTACTCTCTGAAAGCATAAAACAGAGCTGTCCCTTCCATTCAGGGTCTTAGCTTTGCTGGGGAAGCTGAGATCCCATTTATTGGTAAATTTGAGCTTCACTAATAAATTGATTGGGCTCAGAACTTTGTGCTTCAGTCTACCTTAATTTTAACTGTTACACAGGTAACTAAGAATTAGCACAAAAAAGTAGTAAAGTCATGTAAAAAATAATGTTGAGCAGGTTAAAGACCACCAAGAGATTTAGCTTGGTCAAACAGTGAAGACAATAAAAAGAGCTCTTTAAAGTTCTCTTAAGAGCAAGAAAACCAAGGAGGAGATGAGATAGTACCTTGACACGGATGAGAAAATGATAATGAGCGACAGAAAGAAGGCAGAATTATTGAAATGCTATCCTGCTTTTATACCAAGGAGAATGGCCTATGATTTGGAAAGGATAACAAGAGAAATGAAACTCAAGATAAGCAAGGAAAGTGCTGGAGGCAGTACTTAGCTGACCCCAATGAATCCAAGGAACATGACCTGCACAAACTTCGTTGCCAGATAAAGTCACAGATGGTGTCTTCATCAAATCTGTTGGTGACACTAAACCGAGGGTGATAGCTAAGACATCAGATTATAGAACTGTGGATATAAAACTACACAAATTGGCTGGGATTAAGTTAAAAAGATGAATGCAATATGGGATAAATGAAGTTCTTTGAATTCATAAAAATAAACCTTCCAAGTACAAGAAAGAGTAGGTATGGTTTGAAAGTGGCTAAAGTCAAAATGAACAGGCATTCTAGTAGATGCAAACTCCAAATAGATGAGTCATGCCAGATGGGAACCAAAAAAGCGAATGGGAACTTGGGTGGTATGAAAAGATGTCTAACGTTCAGGGTGAGTAAGAAGAGAATCTCATTGTATCTGCTGTGTTCAGAGTACATGGGTAAACTACATCCATTTCAAGTGTCATTTTAGGACACTGACAAGCTGGGACACAGCAGAGACTGGCAGAATGGTGAGGGTACTCAAAGCCACACCATATGATAGGGCAGAACTCAGAACACTGAGTAGAAGCCACAGAGGCTCAGATTTTAGTTCACCCTAAGGAAAAACTTCCAAATAATAATTTGAGCACAATTCCAGGCTACATTGCTTATGCTATCTGTGACACTGACCAAGTCCCTTGACCTCTATGGGCCTTGACACTTTCATTTTCAAAATGAAGAGGTTGGACTAGATGCCTTCTACAATCCTTTGTGGTTCTAAATCCTATGATCCTATTTGTAGATGCTGAAGACAAGACCCAAGGGCTATTCCAACTCTAAGTCTATCATTTCATAATTCTAAACAAGGGCTCAATAAATGTTTATTGAATGAAGGTGGAAGCAGTGTGATGTGCTAAGAATGAAGGAGGGGGTGTTAGTGGATTTGAAGCTCAATATGAATCAGTAATACAACAGGAGAGGCAAAGAGCTAACACAATCTCAGTATTAATTTATAAAGGCACAGTAACCATGCGAGAGAGGTTGAGAGACTGTTTGTATTCTGTCCTGGTCAGACCATATCTGGAATACTACGTTTAGTTCTGGGTGCCACATTTTAAGAAGGATACTGACAAACTGGTGTGTCATATGAGGGCAACTATGACGGTGAAGGCATTAAAGATCAGGCCACCCAAGAATCTGTTGATGTTAGCCTGGAGAAGAGAAGCATCAGAGGAAAAACTACTTCTAACTTTAAATATTTTAAGGGTAGTTAGGTGAAGAGGATTTAGACTTATTCTCTTGGCTTCAGAAAGCAGAATTAGCAAAGTGGGCAGGAATTATAAAGATGCAGACTTGGGCTCATTGTAAAGGAAAAGTGTCATTAACAATCTGGCCTGTTGCCTCAACCACCAGTGAAGTCTACAACACTGAAGACCACTTGTCACAGAAAGAACAGAGATGATTCCTGTTCAAGGACAAGTTGGACCAGACGATCGCTAAGATCTCATGATTCTGTGATTCTGCACAGGGAAAATGAGCACAGTGGAGAGAATCCGGAATAGCTACTGAGCAGATTGTGCCAGGGAACCAAGAAAAAGGACTGATGAGCAGCATAAAGGGCTATAGAATTTGACTGGGAGAGATTTGCATCTTTCTCCATCAGCATCATACCATCCCAAAAGAAGGCAGGAAATAGCAGCACATGAAGGCAAACAAGGTTAAGGAGGGACACGAGGGGGAGGGGGAAGAGGGGGGGATTGAATAAGGGCAGCAGTAAAATACATTAAGTGACCAGAGAGCCAAGGCTGCAAGGGAATCAACAGTCATTAGAAAGCTAATGGACTGGGAGGGGCTAAGTGATGAGGTCCTTTAGGAAAAAAAAAAAAAAAAAAAAAAAAAAAAAAAAAATGGGGATAAGGCACTATAAGCTTATTCTGAGTGGGAAAGCAGGAGCAATAGGAAAAGGACAGAAACCCTAGAAAGCAGTACAAAAATCCTTAAGCCTAGAGTCCTCCCAAACATAGGAAGCTATTCTGACAATTTTCCTCACTTAGAATGCAGAAAACAGCCCTACTCCCATCGTCTGTTCTTCAACTTACAGATAATGACTTATTAATTGACAACTCTACTTTGCTTCCTGTAACCTCTGGTTACAAAAAGAGTTTTAAAAAAGAACTCAAATTTAGAACAGAAAGTACAACAGGTTTTAATTAGTTTCATTATACCACCTCTCTCCTACAGCCACTTTTTTTATTTTTCCCAAAAAAGAAAATCAGATAATTACCAGTGTTTTCCATACAGCCAATGTCCTCCCCAGGTCAACAAGCAGGCACCAAATGTAGTTTTCTTCCAATGGTTCCGAAAGGTTTTGACAAGTTGAGTCATCTTCTCTATCTAGTAGGCTAGCTAGTTTACCAGAACCTGGAAGGTAAAAGCGGACATTAGCATAAGGTCTCCAGGGTAATCACATGATATTCATATTCCCTTTCTCCTACCTCTTTTTTATTTTTTTGCTTTTTAATCCTCTCCTTATTTTTGCCTAATGTACATCTCCATCTAGATGTCCCACTCAATATATTTCTGAAATCAATTAATCTTCTCTAAACCTGTACCTTCCCCTAACTTCTCTTTCTGTTTAAAGCACAACCATTCTCTAATTACTCACACTCAATTTTTGATTCTTTCCTCAAGAGCATGCCCACATCCAAAGAGCTATCAAGTCGGATCAAAACTTCTTTCATGATATCTCTTGTATTGATCCTCTCATTTCTTACTTCTGCAATCTCCTTGGTGTTAAGCACTTATCTCTTCTTTCCTAAACTACAGTAATGTTTTCCTACCTGGTCCTCCTACTTCTATCCCTTCCCCAACCCAATTTTCACAACGTAACACTTATAATTTTCCTAAAAGATTGTTATGAGTGCCACTCCTCTAACTAAAAACAGTAGGGTGGTATTCCACCGCTTACTAAATAAAATAGAAACTAGTGGTATTAAAAGTCTTTTATAAGACTTTTTCACTCCATGTTTTTTCACCTTATTTTTATTCTCCATCCCCCATTTCCAGCCTACCCTCTCCTCTTTGTGCTTTCCCTTCCTCACTCACCCAATTCCTCTGATAATCAGAGAATCTCAGCGTAAGACTTGATCTTAACAGTAACCGGTAGTCATTTAGTTTAGCCTTGTCTTCTCTACCATACCACTAACAATCATTCATCCAGCCTCCCTGGGAGGACACCAGCTTCTGAGGCAACTTCTTCTACTCTGAACAACTATAATTATTAGGAGTCTTTTCCTGGTATCAAGGATTACCAGAGCTGTAGGTACAACCTCCATCCATTTCTCCAAGTTCTGTTCTCTGGAGCAGTGAAAAACAAGGTGACTTTTTTTTAAAAAAGAAAACTTATTTTTTGTTCATATAAGTCTTTCTCTGATTCTCTGTATTCATCATATCCATCTCCTCTTACTGCACTGTGATATCATGTACTGTAACTGGTTTAGCCAATCCTGAATTAATGGGTATATGCTTTGTGGAAAAACAAGTCTAATGCCTCTCTACAAGATTTTTTTTTCAAATATTTGAAAGCAATTGTCACATCTCTACCACCTCCCATCTTCATCACTAGGCACAGTGACTGAAATAAAGTAAGCACTTTACAAATGCTTGTTGACTTGACTTGTTGACCAAGCTAAGCATTTCTAGTTCATTCAAATGACCTTCCTATGGTCTACAGTCCCATCACCTCCAGATACTCCCTACCTTTCAATGTCCTTTTTAAAAATGTTGTGCCCAGAACAACACTCCACATGTGGTTTGACCATGATAGAGAACAAGATAATTAGACTCCTCCATCTGGACAGATGCCTCATTAAAGGATTTAAAGTATTTTCTTTTCCCTTCTAAAGAATCAAAT